ATGGACTGAGACTGCTGACAAGGTAGATGACATCGCAAAGAAATGTCTGGCGTCAACGGAAGAAATACAGAGTGTTAAGAAGAAAGTTGTTAAAGTGGAAAAACAGCAGATGAAGCAAGAAAATAAATTATTAATGCTTCAAATGGAAAAGTCAAACCTGATTCTTCGATTCCAAGGTTTGAAAGAAGAAGAACGAGAGGATCTCAGAGACATTTTGGCAACAGCGTTGGAGCCACTGATTGGCAGCGAAGCGGAAAAAATAAAAGAAGAGATGGATTTGGCCTATAGAGCCTATTCGAACTATACAAAGAAGAATAAGCTGCCAGCAGAAGTGGTCGTGAAGTTTACCAAACAGCATCTCCGGGATCAAATTTTAAAAGCAGTATCAGCGGCACCCTTGAAAATAGGAGAACAACCAATCCGAGTTTTGAAAGATGTCCCATTTGAAATTAGAATGAAACGAAAAGAATACAAAGGATTGACTTTGTTCTTACAAAAACATCAAATTAGTTACAGGTGGTTAACGCCAGAAGGACTGGTCTGTAAATATAAAGACAGAAGAGAAAAGATTGATTCTATCTTGAAGGCAAGAGACTTTTTGAAAAAGCACGCCAATGTAGAAGAAGAAGCAGAACTTGCCGAGTGGATGTCGGGGAGAAGCGATGAGAGCAGCAGCTCGGAAGGAGAGGTGAAAGAAGAGGAAGAAAAAGGGGCAGCCGGAGGTCCAAAGTATAATATGCGAGAGACTAAAGGAAAGCACTACAAAATTTAAGAACTTATCTGGATGTGCCAAGGAAGAAACACTAACCCCAAAAGGACTCTACTAACATACTAATTGCCTGATTTGAAAAGAATAAGAAGAAACAGATGTTTATCCAACCGCAGAAGTAGCCAGAACTTTGATGTGGACTTTAACCTTAATACTAACAGATTAATATACCAGTAATTAACATCACTCAACACTTTTCTTTGTCCCTCTATATACCCTCCCTATTTTTCTAATTGGAAAAGCGGAATTTCTCTCCTTTTTAGGAGAGGGAAATAAAAGTTTTACAAAAAAAAAAAAAGCAGTTCTATGGCTTTTACGTCCGGCGCCCTATTTTTCAAATGCTCTGTTTGGATATCACGTCTGGGAGTTCCCTCCCTTGCTTGCTTAAATCACAGGGGCTTTCTAGCCGAAACTCGGTGTTTTGCTTTCACCACGACTCACAGTTCATCGTTGGTCCTAGGACCCACCTCAGGTACGTGTAAAATGCCCGATCTTCACACGCTTATCCCAGTCAGTGACTCTAGAGCTATACGGTCGCACAGCAGTAGGACCTTCAGGGCGAAGGGAAGGCAGGATTCCATGGCATCGAGCCAGAAAAGAGGCAATCCCTCAAAAGCCCCATGGCTAGGAGCCCAAACACAAGGGCTCCGGGGGGTAGCGGACAATTGCCCCCTTCCTATCCACTGGCGTTTGGATCACGACCCCGGGAGCTCACCAGGGTCGCATCCGCCATCATGCCGCCAAAAACCAGAAGTCCACTGGGAATTTTTTTCCAGGGGGGTAATATTTATTTATTTATTGGATTTATATCCCGCCCTTCCTGAAGGCTCAGGGCAGCTAACAAAGAGGCACAAGTGCCAAAGTTAAAACAGATTAAAACAGAATAAAACAATACAATACAAAAAACTCAAGTGTCAGCGCTCTAGATGTCACAGAATCAGTAGTTGCAAGATGGGGGTTTGGTAAAAGTTATTAATTCCAGGCCAACAGCGTACCTCCTAGCAGCACAACCATCCCATCTTCATCCAGGGATGTCTCGCACCCCATTTAATATCCACACAATTGGTGGTCGAGGTGCGATAATGGGGGGTAGCGATGATGGAACAGTGGTGGCAGCGGCTCCTACTCAAAAGCCTGGTGGAAAAGCTCCGTCTTGCAGACCCTGCAGAACTGCGCAAGGATCTCCTGCGGGAGCTCGTTCCACCAGGTAGGAGCCGCCACCAAAAACACCCTGGCCCTGGTGACAGCAAATTTGATATTCCTGGGGCCTGGGATTGCCAGGAGATTTTGACTCCCTGACCGTAGTGCCCTTGGGGGAACATGTGGGGAAAGGCGGTCCCTTAGGTAAGCTGGACCCTGGCCATATAGGGCTTTATAGGTAAGAACCAGCACTTTGAAGTGGATCCGGTACACCATTGGCAGCCAGTGCAGCACTTTCAGCACAGGCAGAATGTGCTCCCGCCTAGAGAGGCCCATCAACAGCCTGGCTGCTGCATTCTGCACTAGTTGCAGCTTCCGGATTCGTGACAAAGGCAGCCCCATGTAGAGAGCGTTACAGTAGTCTAGCCTCAAGGTGACCGTCGCGTGGATCACTAATAATAGAGATTATTATTATATTAGTAATGATGAATTTATAGGCATATATACTTCAGGACCCAGAAAAGGGGCACAGTACTAGGCGCTGCAGGAAATATAGCAAAGTACAATTCTCAGTCACCTACCAATTAATTTGTATGTGGCAGTACTGGCTGAAATTCAGACTTTCCTATGGACCCAGTGCATTGATGGAGAATAGCATTAATAGTTCCTAATGATGAAAAATTCTCGTATTCGGGACATTATCACAGATAATACAGGAGATTAACACAGTCATCTGCATACACAGGTGTTTATGAAATCCTGCATAATTGTCTTTATTATTTAGTTACTTTACAGCATAGCCTATGATATGAGGCTGCGCAGGATGCCATATTACAGGGGCACGTATATGCCACAGCTTCAGTTCTGAGAATCCAGCTTTTTCCAGGTCTCTCCAGGTCTCTCTAGCCAGGTGGCAGCCATCAAACAAGATCTGCCAAACAGGATCATAGATTTGCTGCCAGAAGAGACTCCAGCTGAAAGGAGCACCTGCAACGTGTTCCATGAAGTAGAAAGCGCCACCCTGGAGAAACAAGATAGTAAGTGCATTTGTTACTCATCATTTCTCTTTGAAGAAGTAACCTCTGTGTATCTCATCCATGGCAATCAGAATCCGTCATTTTGTAAACACTGAAGTGATTCAGCTAGATTCTCTTACTGATTGCATTTATGAGGATGTCTGAACTGCTGGAATTTTGAGGATTCATTGAAACGGAGACAGGCAGAAGCAAAGAACCTGCTAATGTAGGGGCACCTCAAAAGTAAGCACAAAGGCATACAAGGCTCAGTGACTTTTCTTTCCCTGCATTGTTGACACTCTGTCTTTTTGCAGGCTTTTATTCATACCCCCAATCTTTTATCTCCCTCTGTTTTCCTCCAGGTTTTTCTCCCCTCATGTTTTCCTCTCCCTCCCTCCTTCTCCCTCTCTCTGCAGGCTTATATCTTCCTCTTCATCCCCCTCCCCCATTCTCCTCATGTTTCTCCCTCCTGCTTTTTGCATTCTCTGTATTCCCAGGAGTTTCTCTATTTTCCCCCACTCACCACTACATATTCCTGTCCCTAAGGCAAGGCTCTAGTGTCTTGGTAGTAGTATGTAAGGAGCACATTCCATCAAAGTGACAGCTCCCCCCTCTCCACCTGCCACCCATCCTCCCTCTCCCTCCCCCTCTGTGAACTCATCCTGGCATCCTGCAGCTAACAGGAGAGCCACTGTGGCTGTTTAAATGTGCCAATAGTTGAGAGGCCTGCTCTTTAAATGGGAGAGGGAACTCTGTGTGCAGGCACATGGCATGCTTTCTGTTGCTGCTGCGTTTTTGCGACGTGGAGAACACCCCCATATACTTTCCCAGAATGAAGGGACTTCGAGAGGCACTCGTTAAGCCCTGCAAACTGGAAATGGGAGAAGAACCGGTTTATGAGGAAATGGGGCCTGAGCCTCACCCTTTGAAAGCGTCACTAATGTACTTTGTTCAATACTTAGGTCCTGAGGTAAGTATAAAGTGAAGAGGGGGGAGAATCATCAGAACATATGAAACTGAGGTTGCTTTTCCTTATAGTTTGATGATGTGGACTGGCCAGCATTTGAAAATTCAACCAAAGCAGCCCACATGGAGGTGAATCCAAAGTGCTGCAAGTATTGCAAACTTGTAGCTTTTGTCAGAAGCCAAGTGGTGGTTACAATGGTGCTAGTGCTGCTGGACATTCAAGAACAGGCAATGATGCTGAGAAGGAATCAGAGAACAAAAATCCCAAGAAGCCCCCTAGAGAAGCTGAGGCTGAAAACATGGAGGATGAGACCTCAAAGAAGCAGGAAGCTGACACTTGGGTTGCCAGGTCACTTGCCGGTTGCAGCAGGGGGGGAGTAGGTTCCAGTCCGGAGTAGGTCCCGCACCACAGTGACGTCACCCGGAAGTGACATCATCACGCTAGGCACATTGCCAGTGGACACTCTAGCATTCGGCTTGAAAACTCTATGATACCATAAAGTTTTCAGGCTGAATGCTAGAGCATCCACCAGCGACGTGCCCAGTGTGAAGACACACCTCCGTGTGATGTCATCGTGCTGGGCATATTGGCCCGATCTGGGCACTTTGGGGGCAGGGTTCCCCCCACTGGCTGGATCTGGGCTGGTGGCCCTTTGAGCGAGCAAACCCCTGCCCCCCCCCCGGGGGGGACTTGGCAGCGTTAGCTGACACAGTGGCACGGGTAAGTACTGAGGAAAGGGAAAAGCGGAGAGGAAAGTAGAGACAGATCAAGTGGTGTTTTCCTTCCTCTTCCCCACAGGCAGAGGAAGAGAAGAGGGGTCAGACAGAGAAGCCCCCGATTTAGAGAATTTGATCATGTTGAGTGGGGTGCTATCCCTGGCATTGCTTAGATGTATAAGAAAGCAAGGCACTAATCCCAAAAACCCATCTGGGGCTGAAAATAACAAACCCCTTCAAGGGGGGGAATTCTCATACAGAAGGTGTGGGAAGTCAGAGGCTGCAAAGGATCAGGAAGCTGTACCTTTGACAGGGCTATCTGAGAACAGCATCTAGATGCAGAACAGATACCTTACCCAATTAAATATGTTGTAAATGTACTCTGTTACTGTAAGCCGGGAAAGATGATGTGCAATTTAGTTTAATAAGGCACAATGTACCCAAGGTAACACAATGTTACGGATATCTTTCAAAGTGTAAAATCATATCCTGCCACATCTCTCAGCAATTAGCATTACCCATTGCCATGCAGCCACTTTATAAAGTAGTTATAAAGACTCTTAAGCATAACTGCAAAGCTGGACTGTGGAATAGGTCAGTTAAAGACATGGACTGAATGGTAGCTCTGAGACAATGCCATTCTACTGGGCTCTAGGCATGTGCCCACCCAAGGGGAACCTTGTACTGTTCTCCTTTAGGTTATGCTAACTATGGCATTTAACTGCTAAGGCAAAAATGTATTAATCCTTGCCCACAGACCACTCCAGACAAAATATACCAGTTCTGTTCTTACAGTGTTCTCTGAAAAAAATCTGGGAAATGTAGTCTGGTGTGGGGTGCTGAGAATTTTCTGTGAGAGGCCCTCACAAAACTGCAGAGGAAATGACAAACCAGTCTGTCCTGTAGATGTGTTCTCTATATTCCTCTGCAGAAGATTATACTCCATCCATCAGCAATACTGTGGAACAGGTCAGTTAAAGACATGGACTGAATGGTAGCCATAAGACAATGCCATTCTTTTTTAAAAAAATAATTTTTATTAATTCTCCAAGACAATGCCATTCTACTGGACTGTAAGCATGTGCCCACCCAAGGGGAACCTTGTACTGAAGCAGCGTGCCAAGCCAGACATGGACCCATGGACTACCAGATGCCTCTCGCTCCTCCACCTCTGCAGCCACATGCCAGAAGGCAAGCCAGCCACCCTGACCTCTCAACACATGGCACCAGCACCAGTTCACTAAGAGAAGCCATGCTCTGCTAAAAGAACCAGGATATTCCTGCACAGACACCATGAAAAGCTCTCTTTTCTATCACGCAGGCATTTCCCTGCCCCACCTTTACATATTAACATCACCAGGTGAAGCACATACTCCTCTTCAGCCTAAACAAAAGACTCCATGATGGGATTGATGAGCATCACTGCTTTTATACATTCAGACTCAGTGTCTATTTCTGGGCTCTAGGTAAAATAACTCTCATATACACAGGTTATTGATTCCATAGTTAATGTCTATTGCCATTTAATATTCATAATTCCCCACATTTATTAAGAAATAAGGCAATTTGGCTAACAACCAAAGGATTAAAATATTGCATTATTCTAGAGAAATGCTTTGCAAATAGGCAGGTATTTTTTAAAGGTGTAGTATTGCATTATTCTTGGGCAGTACTTTATGTGCACCATTTTTTAAAAAGGTGGGTGGAGAATCATGACAGCAGGGGTGGGTGTTGCAATCTTCATCTGGTGTGAAAGGGAACTGTGGCTAATAAGAGAGATTTTGGGTTTGAAATTTTATTTTGTTTTTCACTGAAAATATTTTAACTATTATTGGAAGCTGCCTTGATCCACAGGGAAAGGAGGATATAAATATTTAAATAAATAACAACGGTGAAAAAATGGATTACCCTGTGCCATTTGAAATCTCTGTTGAAGGTACAAATCGAGCAACAATTACAGTGGCAACATAACCATCACAAAGGGGGGAAAAACCCTTGGGTGGAATCGGCCACTCTGATGAGGAATCGTGGATCACCTGCCAGTTCAGCTCATATCATGCTCACCTGTCATGATTAGGAACCTGATCATTGACAGACTGTTTAACTGCATCTGAATGATTCTGAGGTATCCATTTGCACAACAGCATACAGCTTTCTCTCAGCTGCTGTTTGGCCCTGCCAACTGCCTGCTGCGACCACCTCCACTTGTCAAAAGGTACATAGTTTAGTGTGTGGGGGGGGGGGAACTGAGATAAGACTTACTACTTTGGTGTCTCTGTATGTCTTTTAACAGACTGTCCACGAACCTAGGTGATTAATCTTCTGATCAATTCTTGTGATCATTTCATGATAGGTGCTACTACCTGTGCAAGCAGACAATGTAGGCAACACATCTAGAGCCATTTAAAGAGGCATCCAACCAGGGCCGGCTCACCCACTAGACGAAGTGGGCATTCGCCTAGAGCCCCGAGCCCTGGATGGGGCAGCAGCCGGCCTTGGATGGGACGCCGAACGAAGGCGCGGTCCGTTTTCTTCGCTTCCTGGGCAGCTGACGCGTCATATTCCACCTCAGCTCATCAGGACTGGAGCTTGGAGCAGCGGTGGCGGCCAAAGGCAGCGGGGCAGGCAAGAGAGGTGCGGGGGCTGGAATGAAGGAAGAGGTGAACCAGCCAGCCAACCACGGGAGGTTGCCCGGCCCCAGTGACAAAGTGACGCCAAGGCAAAAGGAGAGCTGATCCCATCACAGCCACTGCCGCACCCATGAGGCAGAGGCAGCGACCACTTCCTTTCACGCAATCCTTTTCTGCGGTACCAGAGTTTAACCCATGGAAGGAGTTGGGAATGTCGATCCTAAAAAGCCAGTTCACCTTCGCCCGAGGATGTGGCCCAGCTTTTGGGGGTTTCCAGCACCGGGAGGCGGCCGTCCCTTAAATGGAGGGAGGGGGGGAGGGCTGGAGGGAGGGACCAGGGCCGGGTCACCCACTAGGCAAACTAGGCATTCGCCTAGAGTGCCGAGCCATGGATAGGGCAGCGGGCAGGCCTGGATGGGGCACCGATCTCCCCCCCTCTAAAAGCCTGAACAAAGGTGCAGTCCATTTTCTTCACTTCCTGGGCAGCTGACGCGTCACAATCCACCTCAGCGCATCTGGACTGGAGTTTGGAGCGGCAGCAGCAGCCAAAGGCAGCAGGGCAGGCAAGAGAGGCACGGGGGCCGGAAGGAGGGAAGAGGCAATCCAGCCAGCCAGCCAGCTGTGGAAGGTGGCCCCCCCCCAGCGGCAGAGCCACCGTTGCCACTGCGTGTTTTCTCTCCAAGGCGGAGTCG